TTTCTGTTTAAGATTATATCTCATCCCCCTTTTCTTTCGTTCTTTCGGCTGGTCATTTCATTTTTTTTTTTTTTTTATTTCTTTCAAGCACAGATTTCTTTCCTAAATCTTCAGGTCCCTGATTGTGCACCTAGGAATCTGTACAGCAGTTTCTCTTCCTCCAAGCCTCTGCTTAGCGGAATCTCGTGTTCGTTGTTTTCATTGCTCCTCCCCCAGCCTCCCCTTGTGTTTCCTGCTGGTCCTGGCAGGATTTTATAACACCCAAACCTTTGGCACCTTTTATTCTGTTTGGACAACTATTCCTCATATTACTATATTGCTCTCCTAGAATATTGTAGAAGAAATTTCCCCCTTTCAGCACCTAATCATGTATAAGCTCATCCTGGGTCTCAGAATAAAATCATTTTTTGTGAATGACACAAGCATATTTGAAAAGTAAGAGTATTCCACTCCCTGCAGGTAGCAAACGACAGCTGATATACTATTCAAAGGTATTAATTATCCCTGTCCCAATACTTTCAACCACTCCATTCCCAATGGCCCCTCCGTATCTTTTAAGCATGCTGGGGGTCTCTTGTCAAAAACAAAATGTAAGTTAATAAATAGCTGTAGACCTCAACACCAGCAGCTGCCTCTGACCTTGTCTGTCCTGGGAATCATCTGTGCATTTGCACAAACATCTTCATCTCTCATTTGCTCTTCAGTCTAATTAGACAACATCCTGTGACGTCATTCCAGGAACTGTCACTGGTCCCTGGTGGTTTGCTTTGGTCTTCCATCCAGTGGATGTCACAGCAGCATTGATCCCAGAGAGCAGTCTTTTTCAGAAGCCTTTTTGGATTTTAGAGCCAGGATCCAGGTCCCCTCCTCTGCTCAGTGGCTCTCCGTTTCCTTCACAGGAACTCCTGCTGCTGCTTGTGAGCAGGGGTCCTGAGGTTTCTTTCCTAAATCTTCAGACTTCTCATCCCAGGTGCCCTTTGAGATTTGGCTGGCATTCAGCCACTCTGCACCTGAAAAGTCATGCTGGTGGTCAGCATAGTGCACTCTCTCTTCATCTGGGTGAAAGAACCTCCACTCTGAGCCACCTGAACCTCCCATCTGAATCCCAGCCTCTGGGCCAGGCACTATGGCCCCTGCCACAGTCCAGTAACTAAAGGAACAGCAACTGCTGGCTGTACTGGGCGCTGGTTTCTGGGTCTGTGAGATCTGATCATTGTTCTGGGAGTAGCAGGGGTTCAGGGCATGTTCTTGTCCTACTGAACGGATGGAACCAAACCACATGGAGTAACCAAGCTTCCCCATGAGCTACCTGGGCCTGCATTTCCCTGGCTGAAGCCTGTCAGACAAAGGAGTCCAGCATCACTGTGTCAGGGAAATGGCCGGTCCAGAGGTGAGGGAGGGGAGTGAGCCGCCGATGTTTACTGAATGAGATTTCCATCTGCCACTGTTCCTAGAATGAACAGCTAAATGGAAAGAGAAATAAGTAAACAAATGAAGCTGGCATTAGTAGAAAAATGCTGTATTGTGTATCAGTGGTTTTGCTGCGTAACAAATATCCCAAAGCACAGTGGCTTGAAACAACAATCAATTGCTTTTTCCCTCCTAGCTCATCTGCTAGAGTGGTTCTGGTATTAGCCAAATGGCTGGTTTCTGTTGGTGTTGCTTCCACTTCTGTGGCCACCTGGAGGCTCAGCCAGTGCTGGGTTGGCTGGGATGGCTGCGATTCTATGCTGGGAATTGGCTCAGGAGGTCTCTGTGGGCCCAGTGATTGGCATTTCTACCAAGTTTCCAAGTGATGCTGATACTGGTGACCTGAGGACCACGTGAGAGCCATTAAATTCCAGTCAGCAGAATTGCCATGGCAGATACTCTGCCAGATGTACAAATGATATGCACAAAATTTATATCAGAAGCCCATTCTTTGTGGTCTATTTTTTTTAATAATGAAATTGGGAACCACCCAAATGCTCAAATAGCATGACTTTTCAAATAATTTTGCATAACATCAAATGAAAAAAGCCAGTTATCTTCATGTTGTGTGTGTTTGTTTCAGTACACGTCCTGGGTTATGTTTTTTTGTTTGGTTTGGTTTGGTTTGGTGACAGCGTTTAAACCCAGGAGCGCTTAACCACTAAGCCACACTCCAGCCTTTTCATTCTTTTCTTCCTATTTCAGTTTTAAGACAGGGCCTCAGTCTGTTGTCTAGCTCAGAATGTCAGGATGAGAAGTGAATTTTGTTTTCTTATGTGTGCTTTTTATATTCATTTTCAATGACTTGATCTTACTTTCATGTAGTGAATCGTTAAAAATAAATGTCATAGGTGGTAGATACAAAAAAGGATGGATTATTAACTTTTCAGTCAGGACTGGCATTTCTCTTGTCTCTTGCTTGCATCTAATAATATTTAGGATGAGAAAGGAGGGCTGCTTGGCATCCAGAGTGCTGGCTCTTAGCCAGACTTCATAAATTTGAATACTGTCTGTGCCCCTTAACGGTTCCACGTTGTGCAAACTGCTTAACAATCCATATGTGCGTTTCCTCACCTATAGAAGGGGGATAATTAGAGTATCTTCATTACAAGGCTGTCGAAAGAATTAAGTGAAATAAGGAACAATAAATATTATGATTTATGTTTGTAAAACAACAACAACAACAAAAACTTCAGCAGTGGCCTATTCCTAGCAAAAATATCTGAATATGGTTTTTGTTTTTCTTTTGTCTAGATCTGGATGTGTGGAGGCCAACTGTATATAATTCCCTGCTCTCGAGTTGGACACGTTGTTAGGAACCATTTAAAAAGAGATCCTGACTTGGAGAGAGCTGTGATAGAGAACTACCTCCGAGTGGTGCATGTTTGGATGGATGAGCACAAGGTGAGGAGCACCTGCCACAGGGAGGGGCGCACCAGGCCCAGGGCAGGGCTTCTTGGGAAGAAGCCTCTGTTGCTCCCAGATCCGAATGTTCTCCTTTTCTGTTTTCCATAACTTAGCGGTGCCCCTTCAACACTCTTCCACCCATCTCCAGTCCCGTTCTCAGTTAATTCTATGCTGCTAGATTTGCACCTCATTTTTAAAAATTTTAATTTCTAGGGACACTAGAGTTTTTCAGAAGTAAATCAACCAACATACATAAGAAATTCTTTTTTTTTAAGAGAGAGAGAGAGAGAGAGAGAGAATTTTTTAATATTTATTTTTTAGTTTTCGGCGGACACAACATCTTTGTTGGTATGTGGTGCTGAGGATCGAACCCAGGCCGCACGCATGCCAGGCGAGCGCGATACTGCTTGAGCCACATCCCCAGCCCAACATACATAAGAAATTCTTGTTTTTCTCCTATATCTATTTTTCCATGCAAAGAATTGCCCCACCCCTCACCCCAAAGCAAACAGCCTCTCCCTTCCCCCATCTCCAGGTGGAAGTTTTTAGATCTCCTTCCCCACTACCGAATCCCTGAGTGCTGCAGTGCCACTGGTCATGGGAGCGTGTGAGAACCTCTTTTTCTGCCAATAAAGGTTTCTATATCCAAGCCATGCCCCTCCATTTGTGCATTTCCTGAAGGGATGAGCACCTCACCAGGACCTTGGCGCCATGCTCAAACAAGGAAGGGCAGGAATCCCATGGCAACCTCATTCCCATCACGTAGACAGAAACGTGTAAGAGTCCTTATGTTTCTGTGATTCCAAGTTTTTAAATTATGAAAATAATAACACTCAATTTCTTTTGAAATTAGAGAAATATCAATGAAGACCTCAATAAGATATTCTTGGACTTGGATTGGAAAAACTTAAAGTCTGACGGGACCAAGTGTTGGTCAGCTCTGAGAATTTCCCAGCCCTGCTGGTGTGGGAGCGTTAATGCATGACTTCGTGCATTTTAAATGTTAATGGATATGCCCAAACTGTCCTCAGTGTCTGTGCTATCTTTTACGTTGTCATCAAATGTATATGAAAGTACCCGTCTCTCACACTGGTCTACATTAGACTGCATACTTTTTTTTTTTTTTTAAAGAGAGAGTGAGAGAGAGAATTTTTTTAATATTTATTTTTTAGTTTTTTTTTGGCGGACACAACATCTTTGATTGTATGTGGTGCAGAGGATCGAACCTGGGCCGCACGCATGCTAGGCTAGCGCGCTACCACTTGAGCCACATCCCCAGCCCGACTGCGTAGTTTTTTAATATGAGAGGTTAAAAAATGATGTTCCATTGTGTTAAATTGCATTCACTTAGTTATGAAAGATTCTGAGATTATTTTCACCCTGGGGAAATAGGCTGCAGACTATGACGGCCAGGACTCGACCATCATTGGGTGTGGTCAAGAAATGCAGAGGAGCATACAACATGGTACACATGGCTCACCAACATGGATGAGTGGGACCCTCTCAACACTAGTTCCAGGCATTAGCATAACATAAATGAAAATGCAGCAGTTCTGCTTCCAAAGAGGCTTGGGTCTACTTAGGACGCATCCTTCAATATGGGACTGATGATGTCCATTAGGCATTCACCCTAAAATACAAGATAGTAACCAGTTGTGATAATGAAGACCAATACAGACGTGCATTTGCTATGTGCCAGCCTCCTCTCCCAGGGGTTTTGCATGTATGAAGTCCTCCCAACAACCTCTCAGGCGTGCAAAAAACTCACCCAAGATCACAGGTAATTAATGGCAGAGTCAGGATTGGAACCCAGGCTGGCTCCCCAAGAGTCCATTCTCCCTTAATAACCACCATCCCCATCCTGAAGAGAGATAGAAGTATCCATTGAGACCCAGAAGTGACAGGTTTTGTCCTGGAAGGAGAAAGGGGGCACTGCAGTGGGCAGCTGGGGATCTTTGGCTCCTGAGAAGTAGGCCCAGTTTCCTGAACCCTGAACCATGGCATATCCTGAGCCTCTGAGCTGGTGAGTCATCTAAGGTCCCATGCTGTATCTCTGCTTTGTTCCCTAGACAGAGGGAAGGTTGGTTGGTTTGCTTTGTTTAGTTCAGATGTTGAAAATATATGCTGCTCCATTTGATATGATCTGATTGCCAAAGGTTTGTTTGGCTTTAATGAAATTATTCTTTCTGTTTATTTAGGCGCATTTTTTAAACCGGAGACCTGCTTTGAAATTTAAGTCCTATGGAAACGTTAGTGAACGTGTGAAATTAAGAAAACAATTGAAGTGCAAGTCATTCCAGTGGTATTTGGATACCATCTTCCCAGAGTTGGAGGTATCTGTGAACTTCTGGTGAAAGATAATCTAATCATTTTCCTTAACTAAGAATTAAAAAGATCCCTAGCCTTACCACATAGTGGCATTGGAGGACAAGTCTGGAAGCTCATGGAAAAAGGTGTAATAAGATTCACAGCCAGAGTTGCCTCCATCAAGAGCTATTATTTATATCCCCCGCCTCCCCCAACCCCGCTTTTTTTGTACCAAGGATTGAATCCAGCGTGCTTAACCACTGAGCCATATCCCTACCACATTCCCCCCTTTTGTGGTTTATTTTGAGACAAGGGGTCTCTAAGTTGCTTAGGGCCTCACTAGGTTGCTGAGGCTAGCTTTGAACTTGCAATCAGCCTTCTGGGCTGCTGGGGTTATAGGTGTGTGCCACCATGCCTGACTGTTTCCCCCCTTTAATGACAATTCCTAAGCCTTCATTGTACATCTGCTGCTGAATTTCCAGGTTGGCAGGACCTTGAGCATTAGTGGTGTAAGCTATCACAGAGTTAGGACTCCAGCGTACCTTGCTGGGATAAAGTGCAGTGTTGTCAATTATTTGGTAAACTCACTTGGTCCTGGTGGCCTCCAGGGACCTTGCCTGCTTTTGGAGCCTTTGCCAACCTGATTGTCACGCCAAACAGATGAGCTAATGTGGTTGCCTCAGAGAGACATTCATAGAGAGTTGTGCCTGGTCCATACCAACTGGGACTGAGCTGGGCCAAGCTCCTTCCTTTGCCTCCAGCACAGGTTCTGGGGCTGACAGCTTGGTTGGGTTCCTGCACTTCTGATGTCCAGTCCACTTGCCTGGGCGTCTCAGTTCAGTTCTCTGAGTTGGTTTGCCTGCTTGTTTCTGTCCTTTGAGACACTCCTCTTGTACATGAGTTTGCTCTATCATGTCTGTGCCCACCTGTGGCTCTGGCCCACCTCTCTCCTGACACTGCTCACATTGGGTGTCTTGTGGTGACTCCATGCACCACCTGACTTGACTCTTCAGCTGGGGTTGGGGAGGAGGAAGTAGCTGGTGTCCCAATCTGTGTGAACACCCCAATGCCTAAAGTTCTCTGGGGCTACAGGAATTGCTGTGAGATTCACCATGGTGATAGTGCTAGGAAGGTGAAAGAGATTTGATTCACACAGACAGTAAAGAGAGAAAATGAGGGCAGGAACACATTGAAGGAGGGAACAGGAGTGGTGGACTTCTGATAGTATCCCTGAACACAGCATATGCTGGAGGAAAGCTAAAGAAGCCACTACAGAGCAACAGCTTCATTCATGTATTATGGCCACTTGGTCAATGGCCAAGGGTTTACTGTGGACCAGGAAGACTTCTAGGTGCAGGATGCCACAGGGAGCATGGCAGACAACATCTCTCCCTCCTGGAACTTCTGTTCTTCAGATAATGTGTACATGTAAATAGCAAAGAATCAGTTTATGATCTCTTTATTACCTATTTAGCAAAATAAAATATATTAGAAACCTTTGCTAGAAACACATGGGGGAAACTGGGGCTAGTATATGACAGATGGTTAGGGAACTTGACTGAGCCTTTAAAGGGCTGAACTGGCAGCATCAAAGTGCCTCATTATGATCATATACTTTACCCATAGATTATGCCCTAGCTGCTTCTAGAAAATCATTAAAAATTGATTGCAATAAACCCATGAGTCTATTGAAATTAGGATAAAATACAAAATATTCTGTACCTGAAGGAAAAAGAGAACTATATTGTATAAATGTGGAGAATTGTCTTAAAGTAATGATATTTTCCTCCTAGTTTTGAATTTTTTTGTGTGTGTACCAAGGATTGAACTCAGGGCCACTTAGCCACACCCCCAGCCATGTTTTGTATTTTAAATTATTTAGAGACTGGTGAATTGCTTAGGGCCTTGCTAAATTGCTAAGGCTGGCTTTGAACTCTCATTCCTCCTGCCTTAGCCTCCCAAGCTCTGGGATTACAGATACGTGCTCCTATGCTTGGCTTAGTTTTGAAATTAAAGAAAAAAATTTTGGTAGAAATATCAGCTTTGCCAAAAGAAAAAAAAATGTACACTTTCTCTTTTTAAAGCCATAGACCTAATGTTATTTTTTAGTTTTGTAATACAATTTAGTTCAGGTACTAGATAATCCAAATAAGTCCTAGAAATAGTTCAGTATGACTCTTAGATAATCTCTTCTTGAATATTGTTTTCAGTTGGCTCTGGAAAAGTAAACAAATCAACATCCAAGCATTTGCTGTTATTGAAAGGGAATTCATACTTGTTTATAGGTGATAATTTTGTTCTTGTATGATGGGTTTTTTTTTTTTTTTTTTTTTTTTGGTACTGGGGGTTGAACCCAGGGATGCTCTGCCACTAAACTACATCCCCAGTTCTTTTATTTTTTTACTTTGAGTCTGGGTCTCACTAAGTTATTGAGGCTCAGCTGTATGGACATTTAAAAAATCTGACTTGTATTCTAGAGCTAATTGAGGAAGTATCTGCTGACCTAGTAAAAGATTTTCACAAAACACAGTTTTTGGTTTGATCAAATGCTCAAACAAGGTTTAAATTAATAAACTCAGGAGTTTAGTAATTAAAGAATTCTTTGGGAATTGACTCTAAAACACACCTGTTTGAAGTCATAATTAATAAAAGCTAACCCTAGGCTTCTCCTGTGTTTCAGACCCTATAGTAAGTACTCTGCATGGACTATCTTATTTCAACTATACAACTTCACTACTTTATAAGCCCTATTATTCCTATTTCATAGATGAGAAAATTGATTATATTTTGCCCAGGGTGAAGGTTAGCAGATTTAGCCAGCAAAAATGCAAGATACTTGGTTAAATTTGAATTTCAGACAAATAAAGAACATTATTTTAGCATAGGCACACCTATAGTTTGAATGTGTCTCCTCCAAAATGTATGTGGCATAATAATATTAAGAGTAGGGGCTTTGGGAAAGTGATTAGGTCAGGGCAGAGCCCCTGTGAATAGGATCAAGTGTCCTTATAACAAGTCTGGACAAAGGTGTTCACCCACTTTACCATTCTGACCCCTGCTAGAGTCCCAGTGCTCCTCCCTCTGGAGGAAGCACATCTGAGGTGCCAGCCAAGAGCAACCCTCAGGAGACCACTGAGCCTGCTAGGCCCTTAATCTTGGAATTTCCAGCCTCTGGAACTGTGAGAAAATTGATTTCTGTTAATTTTAAACTACCAAGTCTCAGCATTTTATTTTAGCACTATAAATGAAGGGCTAAGGAAAATTCCAGAGATTTCCTCTGTCCCTATGCCTGCTGTGACCTTTGCATGTCCTTGATAGAACATCTGAACTATGCAGGATTCTAGGGTTTGAGTTTAGGTGTGGCTGGTTTACAGGAACTCAGACCTTCGCTTATCTCAGGGCAAACTCTCCCTCTTTATGGGGATCTGGCCAGTCCTGGGGGGGGGGGGATGAAGTGTCCTTGAGGAGACTGCCAGGTCACCCAGGTTGTTAGACTTTTTTTCTTTGTTCTAACTCATATTTAAGGATTATTACTTATGTTTAAGGATGATTAAGGAGTGAGACTGGAGTTCCACTCGTGGAGAAGATGCTCAGCCCGGGACTTCCCAATGGGGACCCTGACAAGCTGCTCAGGGACTCCCAGCTACAAGACTTCAGGTGTTGGTGTTTACCCAGTCTGGTGATGTATTTTCTTCTCTTTCTCACGTGCCTTTCACTTGGCTACTGCTTTCATGTTATTACAACAATAAACACTATCTCATATGGAGAGTGTCTTTTTTGTTACCGGATCTGACCTGCCAAATTCAGCAGCTGTGCACATATGTAATGCTTTAACCACAAGACAGGTATATCCTAAATATTGCATAGGACAAAGTATTCTTTATCTGAAATTGACATTTTAGGCCATCCTGTATTTCATTTGGCAACGGCATCCAGGGACAAAACAAAAACAAAATAACAAAAATCACAGCTAAATACTTGTGTAATCATCCTGGCCTCAAAGAGTGTTTAACCACAGTAAGAGAACGCATAGAGCATTATAGTGGTGAAAAACCAGAGCTAATCCAAATCTTCAGTTACTAGAATAATGGTTAAGTAACCAATGTGCATTAATTTGGTAGAATAGTATTCAAAATAGCAGCTATAAACAAAAATCCATTTCATACTTATCAGACTGGCAAATATTTAAGTATCTGAGAGTTTCAAGGTTTGTGAGTACATGAAGCAACTGTCTTGCAGGCATGATTTCAAACTTCTATTTGCACATACAATACCTGAGGATCCCGGTAAACCAGGATTGTAAGTAGGTTTGGGGTGAAGCCTAAACCTCATTGCTTTTAACAAGTGCTCAGGCCAATTAATGTTGCTTATCATGGGTATTGAGCCCTGTGGGGCTAATGTGATATTATACTGTATTTTATGTGAACTGCAACCACTGGGGCAGACTGTTATCCCGTACTCTCTGCATGAGAAACCCTCTCCTGAAACAGATGTTGCCTCCGGCCACGGTGAACTACTGCCCGGACTAGGGTGGAGGAAGTCAAAGGTGTTCCACCAGGCACTGAGCAGCAGTTCTTGAGGCGAACGTCCTAAAAGGACTTGGGGGAGGGCCGTCACCTGCTTACACACTCAGTAACTGGGGAAAAGAGTCCTGAGTCCTGCGCGGAGACCTTGGTGGCACCTGACACCCTGAGGACCCTAGTAAGTATTTGGCACTGCGTGTTAATCCAGAAGGGTGGCTGGATGAGGTTAGTGTCATTCCTCTCAAGAAGTTCAATGCTTTGAGTTCAGACACTGCTTTTTAATTTTTAACTTATAAGGGATGCAGATTTTCCTCCTTTTCCTACACTGTACTCAGTTCCCCTGTTAATTGTAAAAGCAATGCGTTTTTTAAAAGTAATTTAAAAGTTCTTGACCGAGAATTTTTTATTTCAGAGGAGGGGATATTCACCAACGTAATCTGGCATGACTGGGCCAAAGAGGAGCATCCACACTATTGTGGCCGAATTCCACCAGAGTTGTGCCCTCTCGCACGCACCACGGCCAGCAGTGGGAGTCGTTTTCACGGCCGCTCTCTACATTTATACGTCTCATCATAATACTACACATTTTGTCTTTTTCTTCTTTATTTAATGGTGGTACTGGGGATGGAACCCAGGACCTTGCAGGCCACGGCGCTACCCCCGAGCCCTTTCCACCTTTGCCGCCGTCTCCCAGGTTGCTCCGGCTGCGGGGAACCGGGGACCCCCCTGCCCCAGCCCGCAGGCCTGGGATTTCAGGCGCGCGCCACGGCGCCCTGCGGCCGCTCGGAATCCTCAACCGCGGGCGCCTTTCTCCCGGGTCGGTGCCCACCAGCTTCGCGGAACACGCGGGTCGCCGCGCCGCGCCCCCCGGACCTCCCCGCGCTCCCACCTCCCTGCGGGCCCCCTTCTGTCCTTCTGGTCCCCTCCACTTTGGAGATGTCCTTGCTTTTTCTTTTTCCCCGACTAGCTTCCACGTATGAGAGAAAATACACAGCATTTCTCGTCCTAGGTTTGGCACCTGTTCTGGGTAAGAATAAGAAGCTTTGGGCCGCGGCCCCCGCGCGGTGACGTCAGGGGTCGGGCGGTGACGTCAG